ATGAGTAAGTCCTTTTAAAAACACCATCGGTACAACAGGAGGCTTAGCTACAGTGCCTAAATTAAGGAAGACAATAAACTTTATTCTTAATGGGTCATAGGCTTTCTAAGATGAAAGAGATAACGCAAACCACATGACCAGTTTCCCTTTATGCTACTCATAGCAAAATTTCTTTCCTTTGAGGTCATTTGCACCTCACTTTCAATTTCCTGAAGAGCTCATTTAAAATAATGCCATATAGAAGCCTATTTATGCTCTTTCATTTCTAGTGTGGGGATCCAAGACCCAGAATGTCCCTTCTGGTCTGCAAGCCTTTACTGTCACATTGACTGTGTGATATAATCCCATTATTTGAGCAGATTTCATCTTGATTACTAGGTTTCCTGGACACCGTTATTTATAAAAGGAAGTTGTTCCAGATTTCAGTAATGGTTTGATTATCATCCTAAACATTGTGCTCTTTTTCCTCCCTGATATTTAGCTGCAAATGTATTTTTAAAAAGAAGTCACAAAATCACAGCTTTAGTTTTTGCAGTGCTAAGTAATAACTCACTCTTTCAGCCTTCTGTCACATTATTCTAGTGGCTGTTCTTGGTTCCCATTCCAGTTAGCGTCAGGCTTTCTGGTTTTGTCTGTGTGAGGCTCACCAGTGACACGTCAGCAATAGTGTTACGTTTCCTTAACTCTGCTGGAAACAATTCTCCTAATTCATCCTAATACTAAATTTGTTTGAGTCACGCTGACATCAGAAGGTTAGCTCTAACCATCTGTAGTTTATAACCATTTGTAAGTCAACAAATATGGTCAGATTTACCTTCCTTTCCTCCTCCCATTTCTAACTGATAACTCTACAGCTCTCTTCAGTTAGAAAAGGCCTGTTTCTGGTCTGTGAGTATAAATGTCTGCATTTTTGTTACTCCAGCCAAAAAAAGCAATCCAGTTTGTTAGGTAGTATCTTGGTCATCTTCTGCATTGACTAGGATTCCATAATCAGCCAATGTCTTTAATCCAGTCCTTGTTCTTAATTCCTGAATTAGTTTCAGAATTGTCCTAAAGACAACTCACGAGATCTTTAACTTCTGCCTTTCCTCCAGCCCAACTCAGGTTGTGGTCAGTCTCCTGCCCCCCCTGTTTCCTAGTTCCTCACGCATCTTAGAATTCCTGTGCTGATATCCCTCCTTCCCTCCTTAACTGGGAATTTCCCAGGGGGAACCTGTTATCGCTGAAGTGCTTTCTTGGTTCAGTTGATGAGGCAGGATTCTGTGAGGTATTGTCCAACTGGTACAGGGTACCACTACTGAGCATCCTGCAGTGTCGTTACAGTGATGGGAGCAGAGGGCCCTCAGCATGCTTCAAAACATTACTGATTTGGGCCATAATTCATCGTAAGGGCTCCTCCTCAGCAAGATATCAAAGGTCTACTCTTTCTTGCTATGTTGGCTCTAAGGAATTTACTTTTTACACTTTAACTGCAGATTTCATGGCTGTAGTCATAATGCAATCACCATTTAGTACTTTTCTCAATCCATTTTTCAAAAGGTGCAGTGTAGTCTCTCCTGACTCTATTGCAAGCATAGATTTTCAAAGTCACAGGCAAAATGTTTAAAAGCATTTCCGACATAATTTTAAAAATAGAAAACCAGCTTATGACTCTGCTAGTAAGCATTTTAAAATTTTCTCACCTCTTCAACTGACTTGACTTAAAAAAAAAAAGCAGACATGATATTAGGTAGGCTGCTGGTTTTGGTAGTTTAGCAACTAATTTTACAGGTAGCTATATAAATTTGAATACTGTTTTGCTCCTCTGTTAAAGCCAGGTGAAAGAACTAGTGTGGCAGCATCTGTCCTTTTAACATGCGTTATTGTGTTTGTTGTGATTTTGCATAATAAAAATAGTGTGAAATACCCCTAGTATTCGCTTTGCATAAGTTTGTACAGGTGGAGGATCTCACCAATGTGGAAACAGTACTATATAAAATATGGGAAAAGGTCATCTCTGTTTAAACTTCCACTTGTGTATCATTGGGGCAAAGGAGGCAGTAGTCTTATTGGTGAAAAAAAATGATTGCGTTTTTTGTTCCTCTCTTAAGTAGGTGTAGAATTTTTGTTGTAAAAGAAAGGAGGTTGTTTTTCTGTTGTAGAAGTTTTCCTTCCCTAATAAAACACAAAAGTTTGTTCATGTATTATTGAAAATGTCTTTTGAGGATCCCAACCATGATACTGGTTGAAAGAAGGATTAATATCATTTAAAGGAAAGAAATGGAAAATCTTTAAGGTCATTTCTTTTCATGACAAAGGAAGTTAAAAAGCGTGGCAGACAGGATCTTCAAAGGTTTGTAAAGTCCTGTCATCAGCTCCCAATCAATAGGAGTTAGATACCCAAATTAAGAGTTCAGTTCAAGTCTTCAAAGGTACCTGGGTCCTTAACCTCTTTCTACCTTTCAGATCACTTCTAAGGATAAAACATCAGTTTGAAGGAAAACGTTTTGCTGCAATACTTTCATGTCCAGCACCTGGATAATTTGTGGCACCCACTGATAATTAGCATAACAGCCACTTCTCTTGCGAGTTTGTTACTTGTAGAGTATTGTAGTGTTGGTTTTGTTTATGAAATTGTTTTCCTTTGTGAAACACAGATTTTACTTTAAAGTTTTTTTGATATAGAAAATATCAGAAGTAAACTTTTGGTTTTTAATGTTTGCTGAGGTTGATAATTTCAGTGAATTTGCAAAAATCCTGAGTCTCTGTTCCCTAAGGAAATGGTTTCTTTATAATACGTCGTACACGCACTGTTCTAGGCTTTGACTTTCCATGTTTGCACACCCGCCTGTGCAGGGTAAGGCTCTTGCCAGATAACAGAAGTTATTATCGATATAAAAAACTAAAGACCACGTATAAATGCATTCAGAATATGTTGCCTAGCATAGATCTTCCGTGCAGTATTAAAGTGTCTCAAAGTTTGTCAAGCTTCCACCTAAAGCGGAGGGATCCCACTGGGAGCTGTGTGGTGCAGTCAGGACTGCGCTTGCTTTTATTCCTTTTTTTTTTTTTAAGTATTTGTAAAAATGGTAGATGGTTCAGACCTACTTGAAGTATTGTGTCTGATAGCAGTGCCTCGGGCATACACAGTGGAAGTGGCAGTGCCCTGTGTTAACATGGACTTGCTGTTTGTTTACAGTCTTGAGTCACTGAATCCTTTCTGTCAAGCAGAAAGCGTTCATTAGGATGCAGGCACTTACCTTCTCCACAGCCCGTTCCTGAGTGACATCAAAACATAAGCCAGAATATTATTGTCATATGCCTTAGAGTTCGTGAATGGGCTGTGGATCCCAAAGCCTCAGGCAGTGAGTGGCATGTTTGGTCTTTTGGAGGAGCAATTCTGCCTCTAGTCCAGCATTTGCATCTCTGAGACAGTTGTCACAGCTGCTCCCGGTAATGTTGACTGTCATGTTTTTTAGTGCAAATGCACCTCATCTGAATAGCTAGGCAGTGGTTACGCTCCACATTTTGTGGATTCTCTTTTTGTTCTTTAGCAATCTGGCCTTTCTTCAGAGTCAGCGCTGAGAGCCAGTTGCTTTTCAGGCTCTGGACAGGGCAGAGGAACACACACACACGGACACACATTTGCTTTCTTCCGTTTACGTCCGACTTGAGGCCTTTCATCACCCCAAAGAATGAGCAGCCCCTGCTGCCCCCATCAGCGGACTCCCAGCCCCAGGACCAGCCGTGGCGCTCCCGCTCCCGCCGCTGCAGAGGGGCGGCTGCTGAGCAGGAGGAAATGAGTCTCAGCAGGCACAAATCTATCGCCTGTGTTTTTATTCTTTCCATTTCTTTCAAACGGAAAACAACTCGAGCCGTTTCTGAGGATGAGGGATATAAATCTGTCTGCTGCTATTTATAACGTGCTTGTCACTCCGGTGTCTAAATGCTTAAAGCGTGTATTTGCCGTCTAACCTGAGGTGGTCCTCAGGCTGCTTGGGTTGTCGAGAGCAGGCGCGCCTCGAACCCACAGCGGAGAGCAGTCCCAGGAGACATCAGAGTCTCATTCTTACTCCTGCTCCGGCAGGTTGCCAGTCGGGCAGGAGGCCCTTGGGGTGTTATACAGGGAGAGGGTGGTTGTGTGGACCTCCCTGCCTGGCACGGTGTGGAACAGTGACCCAGAGGAGTGACTTTTGCATCGGCACAATAAGGACCTGCTTTACAATCCGGGAATACTGTAAGGGAACATTTTGTGCCCTGAGCCTCACAGACAGCGCTGTGAGTGCTGTTCCTCTTTGGGTGGGTAGACGGCAGTGGATAAACTGTGTGGGTGTCTTTTGAATGAGACTGTAAAAATGGGTCTGTCTGTTCTGGATGCATATTTTAATAAGCAAATGTCTTCACTTTGCTTTTATTTGAATAATAAGATACCCTTTTTCTGTCTGAGCTCTTTCAAACATGCCTCACTTTCACCACATGCACCTCCATATTCTTTATTCCCATATTCTGCATGGACATTCAAATAATATTAAAACCACTGATTCATTGAAATACCTTTTAAACTGTTGTTGTTAGTCATTTTTGTATTGACTGAATTTTTCATTGGTAATATTGTTGGCAGCAGTCCACGTCTGCCTGGCTGGAGGCCAGTTTAAGCTCGGCAGGATGAGCCCTATTGTTCAGCAGATTGTTAAACTCTCTAACAGAAATATGTGTCAGGAGATTTGCAGCTATAAATTGGATCATGTCAGTGAGGTTGGGATCTCGCTCAATACGAAATTGAACATTTTGCTGTGCCTGTTGCTAAATATGTTTATGCATGTTTTCTCCATGGGTTTCAAAAAAAGAAAAAAAAACGAAAAAAAAACCTGAAAAAAATAGACCTGTTGAGCTCTGTCTTTGCCTTATACAGCTGGTACTTTCTTTGATGTTGAGTGGTTGAAAAATGCGGCAAAGGCTTGGGTTTGTGCATTTCCATGTTAAAAGCAAGTCTGTTTTCCCTTTTTCTCTGTGTGTTACAGGCAGTCAGATGCCACCGCAGCCTCCTGGCAGCCAGTCAGAATCCAGCTCCCACCCTGCCTTGAGCCAGTCACCAATGCCACAGGACCGAGGTTTGTTAGGTGTTGGGCCTTTTTTTAGTTGGTGCCAAATGCAGCCTTCATTTTAAGTCACACATTAGCAATGTAAGATTTCCCGGTATTTCTTTTCTTTTCCCAAGGAAAATAATGACAGTCCTCATTGTGAAAGGCTCGGGGGTTTTCCTTCTATGGGGAAAGAGGCATTGAATAGCAGATTTTCCCAAAATATAATTGGAAACAAGGCTTTCTCAAAATGCAGTGAATGGCCAGGGTATAAAGGCAGTTTACTGTAAATACTTGAGTCATGTCCTAAAGAATTCAACTTTGCATTGTCTGTCTTGGAATTAAGATGTATAGACATAGTGCTAGCTATGAGCACTGCAGTTTTGCTGCTGTTCTTAAAATTCTCATCCCTGCTGTCTTTGCACGGACACAGTAGCTAGTCCTCTAGCCAGTTCCAGAATAAAAATATATATAAATGAAAATCAACTATTTAAGTCAAATGGTTCGACGATTTGGAAAGCTTGCAAGAGAAAACCTCACAGACAGCACTGTTCTAAACGGGTGCTTCCTAGCAAGTGCTCACAAAAATAAACAGAGCTTTTTTTTTATTATTCTGAATGTTACTATTTATAAACTTTAAGCCCTTTTCCTTTCATGTCCTTCCTCCCCAGCTCAAGAAAGACACTTGTCACAGCTTTTTTGCGTGGCCATACGTACCATCAACTGCTCTAAACTGGGCATCCCGTCCATGCAGTGGTTAACATGTGCCAGCGACAAGCTTGCAAAACAGACACATGATAACTGTGATAAACATGGAGTTATTTATGAAACGCCCCTCCTAAAATGTCTTGCTACCAGAAATATTCCAAGTCGCACCATATGGGGATACCATAAATACTAGAAGTTTTCTCACAGTGAAACAAGTTGAACTCGCAGAATGACAAATTTCTGGGATAGCATCCAGGAGGAACTAAGAGGACTCACAAAGAAGAGCAAAAATTCTTAATTTTTTGCTGATTTTCTGTGTTGGACATCCCCTCCCCTAGTAATGCTGATTAATGAGAAAATGAAACACAGAATTCCACACGCAACTCATTTGTTTGGTTTCTTGTTCAGTCATTCTTTATACACATTTGTTAGTGCAGAGACTTATTTTGCCCTTAAAATTATTTTAGAATAACATACATGTTTGGTGAGGCAAGAGGTGCCTCAGTACCCAATACACGTGTGTGGTGCTTTCTGGGATGGAATGTCACAAGGTAGCAGGGATGAATCAGATTTAGACTTTGAAGACCCAAGGGTCTCAGAAAGGTCTGTACATTTCCTGGCACAACTTGGTCTTCATACAAAATGTTAGCATTGCCCAGTAATAATTATTTCTGCAGTGTGTGTTCCTCAGCTGGCTTTGGGGAGTGAGTTCGGCCGATCTGACTGGAAGGGTCGAACCTCTCCAATGCTGCTGTGGAACAAAACTGTGGGTCATTGTATGGTCAGGAGACGCAGAGGGGTATTGAAAAGTGAAACAGACAGGACAGCTACCATAACTGGGAAATCAAACAAATAAATAACAGCGAGAGAAATCAAATTTACAGATTGATTTACTCTGGTTCTTCCTCCGTATGGGGGCTGTGTATGAGAACTGTGGGTAAGTTCTTAGAGAAAATGTGTTTTGGAATGCTGCAATTTTTGCACTCTTCATATGCAAAATCCGTTGGAATATGCATGATCCTTGTGACCCAGCTTGTACAAGAAGTCCATTTGTTTCATGCAGCAGGTATGAAATTTGTAACTAGCTAGGTCGTATTGATTTTGCCAAACATGTTCCCCAAAGCTTCTCTAAAATCTGTGCTATACGCACATAAACATGCATGCATTCCCTTTTGCGCCCTGTCATTGATTAGAGGCTCCTTTGAAATGGAAAACTTCACCTTTTAAAAAGGCTGTTACATTAGTTGATTCCTTTTCTTGCTTGAACTGGTTTCCACTGAACTTGAATAAAGGAAGGAGGGGGAGTGATGAGGACTCAAAGGGAAGGTGCTTGTCATTTGCTGATAAAAACCTGAGCAGAAAATCGTTGCTGCTAAGGACACCTGATCCATAGGCATCTGTTACAGTAATTTAAACTCTTGGCTTACTGATACACTTTCTCTCAAAAAAAGAAAAGGGGAAAAAAAAAGAAAATGAAAACAAAAAACCCAGAGACCCTCCATAGGATAAGGTAACATTGTTTGGTTTAGCACTTTGTATAACATTTCTTTCGTTGTTTAGAGAGAGATTTCAATGAACAAAAGGCTACTAATTGTTTCTTGAGCATAATCCTCTGCTCTCAATACTTGAATAAAAATATTATTTACCAGATATTGTGAAGCTTGATTGACAGATACAGTCTGAGCTGTAGCACTTCTGGATACTAAACCACTACCTTGAACCGTTAAGTTTACATTTATTTATTTTATTATGAAACTGTCTGATTACGTTTTATCCTACTTTCCATGGTTACTCAGCACCCAACTGGGATTTTTATGTTTGCCTGCCTAAGACTATACATCCCCTGTCATACAGTACAGCATGAAGCAGTGAGCATATTTTTACATCTAATTCTGCCTATGGAAGGAGGGGAGTGGTAGCCTATGTGCATGGGTACAGTAACAGGAATTTCTTGGGAGACTGGATTTATTTTGTGCTCTTCAGCTTGATTTTTGTATAGCTATTTCATACTTTTTGTAATAAGCATAAAAATGCTTACTTGTGAAAAATAATTTGAAAATTTTTCATGTCTTACTCAAGCTGTAGGACATTTGTACCTCGGTCAGTGTAAATGTACTATTCCAGGCAGCGCACTTCTGATCTCGTCCCAGAATCGGTAACCAGCCTCTGTTGTTTGATGCCCAATCAATGAAACTTTTTCAATTCTACCAACACACATTATCTACCTAGGCAGTAAGAAATTGCATGTACTTTTACGTGCATAACCTATGTCTCAGCTCACCCATCTTTGAAAGTCACGGGACTTAAAGTAAGTCCCACACACCTCAGTGAACTGTTGGAGCGGAGAGCACTGGAGACAGAGGGAGTGGGCTCTGCGGGACTGGGGTCAGAAGGCTCTTGGAGAAGCAGGAGGGGACACGGCCGCTCACCTGCATTGAGGTGCTGCTGAGTCCCAGGAATTACCGTTACTTTAGGATTAACACACGAGTGTAGTCACGACTAATCAAGCTAGTCGCTGGAACTTGCTGTTCTTTTGGGAGGAAGGGAAATGCATGTTTTGTTCTTTGTTTCTGATATAGCTACTCCAGACTTCTCTTTACTGCAGTCAAAAGCAGGGGTTTGATTTTTCGTGTTTATTGAAGTCAGAGCTTTTTATGAACTTCAGCTACATCGTCCCCCAGAGGTAGGGCAGCGGTGATACTACAGCTGTTGGAACCATTTGGCAAATAGTGGCAGTACACAGTCGCTTGAGTTCAGCTGTACGTACTTACCTCATCTGTTTGGGTTTTGGAAGCTACACTTTGAAGACGTACAGGGTAGCCAGAACTGCTCGGTGGCTTAGAAGTTATTTGTATGGATCAAATAGAAACCTGACGTATCCAAACTGACCCCCTAAATCAGTTTCCTGAGGCTGCAGTGTGAAAAGGAAGCCTCTGTCCTAGCCATTAGCTTATACTTCCACTCTTACTTTTGCAACCTACGAATACTCACCTAGGCAAACACTGATAGAGAATATGTGTCACAGTAATGGTGAACTAGGCACTTTTCACCCCTGCGGAAGTGAATGGTTCTTTACCTGATTTTGGAAAAGCTTAGAAAACTCACCTACCTTTAAGTAGTAGTTTTCCTGCTTATGCAGGTGGATATGTACATGTCAGCTTTCAGTTGCATTAAAATAGTGAATTGGGAGCTCCTGAAAAGCATTGAATTTAATGGAAACAGTTAATGACTTCACATTATTACTCTAGCAAGCGCTCTCATAATGGGGATACTTAAAGAAGCCTTATTTATTAGCGCAAATGTATATGGGTCAGAATTAATTTTTAAAAAATCTTTAATTGTTTTCCCCTTATAATTTTCACAGCGGTACGTAGTTAAATATTCATGATAATGCTGATGATATGCTAAAGGTCTGAAATAGATCTGGAGTCTCAAAATCAACACAGGTTATTTAACCCTTTTCATCTAATGCATCTTTGGGGACTTGCTCAGTGAAATCCCAGAGCACTGGAATAATTAGAAGATAGTAATGAGGATTTAATTAGTCCTTGAGATATGCTGAAATAGGACCACTGAGAACTTTTCTGTTTGGACATGGATTGCAAGCAGAATTGATGCCATTGCAGCTGCTGTGATATGCTGGAAAATGTATTCCATTGCTGGAGGCAGTTTCATGGCACCATTCTGTGCCTGTCAGATCTATGTGGAAAGTGCCCGGAGTAAGCACCTCCAAAATTGTTGAATAGTAGCCTTCCTCTTCTCCGGCACCTCCTCCCAGTACCTTTTCTTCTTCTTTTTTTTTTTTTATATATTTTCTTTCCGTTCTAGCTTAATTTCTTCCCGTTGTTGACATGATTCAGGTTTTGAGGATTGTTGTACAGTTGTATGCTCTGTTAAAAACATCTCACAGATAGGGGCAGGGAGTAAAAAACTGCAGACTTGTAAGAGTACAGGTGTTATACTAAGCAAAATTTGGATCTTTTTGACACAGGTGCTTGTAAGCTTTATCCTCAGATCTAGTACTTATTTAGTATTAGATCTTCACAGAAGTGATATTTATCAGTAGATGCAATGTAGTAAATTTAAATAGCTTTTTTGGCGGCGAAGATGTTATCCAGCAAGAGGTAGGAACAGATGGGATGTGATCAGGCATTTTGATGTTCTCTTTGTGCTTTCCTATAAACACTAAGTAGCAACTGAATTTCTGTAACTACAATCTCCTAATTTGCCCGTTAGATTTCATATAGATATTTTTCTCCGCTTTAACTGTTTTCTGGGCATGTTTATTTGTACGCAGTCATCACATAAATTCCACCGTCATG